CAAAAATAAAAATTGGAAGAAAATAAAACAAATATATATTAAACATGATAGTAAACAATATAGGTTTTTAAAAAAAATTGAAAAGTCAATGTTACAAATGTTTTATAAGCTATAATGCTCCACTCAAAGATACCCACAGAGAAACGAAAACAGACAATTTAAACTGTGAATGTACCTTTTAATGGTGTTTTCACATGTCTCTGTTTTCACGCCTTCATGTTTAAGATTGTCGAAACCCTTTCTACTGCAGGTAACTACTGCTTGTTTCCCTACTTAAAGCTGGTTTAATGAAGTTGTGTAACCAGAGACTCTCTGAAATGGCCTGGCAACTGCACATCCCTGCTATTAAACAGCCACTACATACCCTGCAGGTAGTCCAGGGCTGAGTTTGGATTCATTTTAACAGGCTAAGGAAATCTGCTGTAGATTATATGAGGACTTTTGAGGAGCTCAGCAGTCAGGATGTAGCAAGTAGCTGCCCTTGATCCCTGCGAGCACAGTTTCACTGGCACATTGCTGGAGGAGGAAATAAAAACAGAAAGGAGAGGAAAGCACATGCCGAGGAAGCAGCTGAAAGGCTTTACACTGTTAGTTTCTAGATCTGCGGCTGTACCAGGAGCCTGTTTTGCTGCAAATTAACTAGAATGGCAGCAAGCGAGGAAAAAACAGCTGTGACGTCTCACCGTGCCTGGATTAAAAGCTAAGCTCCTTTGCTCGACTGTATTGGTGCCGTGTGTCCATCCGAGAGTCAAAACAGACACAACACTTAACGTCAGCAGCAGACCTGTTTCTGCCTCAACAACCTCATAAATCCTCTTGGATTTGGTATAATCATACAAGCTGCACACCACACTTATCACGGTATATTAGTGTACCATCTGAGGTAGTAACCATAGGAACCAGTTTGAGGTACATCGCTGGCCTTTTCATCATTTGAAAAGAAGAGCATGACGTCAAAGTGACCGCTGTTTTCCCTCCGTGGGAGTTTTTCCTTTCATTCTGGGCGTCGAAGGGCATGCTCGACAGATAACAGGGTGAGTCAGAGACACTATCATACACGTTAATGAGGAAGTTTGCTAAGCCACAACACATGTATCAAATCAATCTTTTATGAATGCATATCTTCCCATGACACAGGAGGGAAAAGCGTGTCGTCCTTATCACCGCATTCATACAAACACAAGAAGAGTGGAAGCACGAACGTCAGACAATAAAGCTCTGTTGGCCGGGAAACAGTGATTGTCTTCCCCATTTTGTAGATTAGATATTTGTTTCATTTCTGTTGTGAAGTTTGTTATTGTTGTAGAAGGTCAAAAAGAAATGTGTAAGAAGATACCTAGGAACTTGTCAATCTAACTAATACTATCAGTGTTTATAGAATGTGATATTATGTGTTATATTATTATATTAAGGTCACAATCAAATAACAAGTTGATCAGTTCAATATTTGTAATTTCTCAACAGTCACTTTGGTTGGCATGGTTTCCTTGGTGACCTGCAGTAAACATGACATGAATGTGGGCTGATAAAGTCTGTATGCATGATTCTATTCAGCCACCTGAACCTGTTTCTGTCTCACAGAGCCGTCTGATCTGCTGCCTCAGCAAATGTCTCATACTTTAAAGTCAGCTCAGCCCTCTTCAGCCCTCAGGCTCCGTCTTCCTGCTGAAGGCTCAGAGCCTTAAAAAAACCTCTCTGTGTCCTTTTCAATGACGTTTCTTCTGGTTTGGGTCAGGAGGCCGCTCTCAGGGTCATTCCTCTGCAAAGAAACGAAAGCTTGAGTTTAAATGAAAACAAGCAGCAGTCCGACAGCAACGAGATAATGTTGTTGGCAATTGGTCAAAAGACACATGGTACAAGATATGGGCACGATGAAACATCAAAACAATTTGAGTTATTTATGTTTAATATATAATCTTTTTAAAGTCAAAGTAATGGCTTAAAATTACAATAAACAAACAATTGCTCCAGTTTCATATAGCTCTGAAAATAAGATCCACAGTTTACTACACAGGAAGTGATTGTAGGTGTTTCCACAACATCACAGTGGTTCAACTCATTAGTCAGTGGTAAAGCTTTAACGAGAATTTGAGTCTGGTATATTAGTCTTTATCAGCTCCTAAAATAAGTTGAAAAGAATAATTCAAGAAAAGGTTTTTATTAAAAATATGAAAACAAACAATATGCCATCCGTATATGTTTGTGTGATGACTCTGCAGCTCAGTGTAGGGATGTGGACCGGGGTTAAAGTTGCAGTTTCAGATTTCACTGTGATCTTGCGGCAGGATCTTACCCCACTGACCAACTTCTGCTTCCTGTTTGCACTAATCAGGCCCCGGGGGCTCATTGGCTGAGCTTAGCACAGCAGTACACTGCTTTGGTGCTAATCACCGGTGACCCACATGACACCGTAAACCTTATAGATCTGTCAGCGCACTGCATAGTCACATTACACTCCACAGCTCGCCAGGCATGCACGTTCTGTTTAATGCTCAACATGGAAGCTCCACTCTCATTGATTTTCATTTTTCCCCAGTGTTTTAGCCATGCATCCTTACTCTTTGTCCTGTACGGTTATTCTGCTTACTGAGTGTTTGCTGCTGCAAAGGTCACCTGTTGAATCCTGCATGTGAAGAATCGTTTTTTTGTCTGGCAATGAGCACTCAATATTAGTGACCTGTGTTTCTTTTGTAGGATAACATCATTCGGGATTCATGATGTTTTGATATGGCACAATTAGTTTGTAGAGTTTCGACCATAACAGCTGCGCCTGCATCCATTAATAAGGAATGACTCATCACTTCTCATCTAATGTGTCCTTATCTGAGTCATTAGAAGCAAAGTGGGTGTGTTTTTTCTGCATGAAGAAATGATAATGAATGAGTAAGGGCTTTTGCTGCTATTTACGAACCAAACACTGTCACAATGTCAGACAGAGATTAGGAAATAGTGTATGGGACAACACGTTTGAACTGAAATATTACAGAGCCAGGTCTCTTATTTCACTCCATCTGCTTTGATGAAGAAGTCAAGCTCAGTATTAACTTTCAAGCTAATACTTGCTTGCTCAGACCTTAAGTGTGTGTTGTTCAGTAACTTAAAAACAAAAGTGGGTTCAGAGGTGAATTCAGAGAATCCGTTCTGGATCACTGCCAGTAGGACGCTGTGTGTGTTGTTGTTATATGCCACACAAAGTTATATAACACAAAGCTTTCAGAATATTGTGTAATGTTTGCAGATAAATGTAGAGAAAAGTATTTTTAAGGACGACAATTACCCACAGCACGTCCATCTCATGTACAGACAGTGGAACATTCGGTGATGGTGTCATATTCTTAGTTCGCCAGCAAAACACATGAAAGGATGTGGAGGGTCTGTCTCGGCTAATCAGATGTACCGTATGAGGCCTGTCTAAAAAGACCAACATAACCTGGCCATGTGCTATATGTTCTACATAAACAAATCAACTGTCCTCTTCTATTGAACTTCCTCATCTATGACCCTCAGTAAACATGCAGAGGTATGCCAAAACAAGTCAGCAGGTCTAAAAGCTGCTGTCAAAAATAGTTCAGATCTTTTTTTTAAAGACCTGCATCTACTTATTCAGATCAAGGCCCTGAGTGATAACGTCTCTGAAGGCTACTTCCTCCAGTCCTGAGTGCAGGGACAAGGCTCAGGTTTCTGATGCTCGGCTCAGCTGCAGGGTTCACACTCCTGTGACAGAGGACGAGGTCCCTGGAGAGAAGAGGTGAAAGGGTAATCTGATCCCACCTGCTGACACAGACTCGCAGTAACTGGGGATACAACTAATTCTGTTAGACGGATGTAAATTGTTTCATTGACAAAACCGGTTTAAATAATTCATGCCCTGACACAACTCCCAGTGCTATCACTGTGTGGAAAAAAGGTCACTGGATGGGATGAGTTCATTAAACTGATATGTTACCTTTTTGAAGTGTATCCTGTGCCTTTCTTTTTAGGGAATGTTATGTTTTATTAAACCGAACAAACAACAACAATTAATGTGTTTGTATGTTTAATGTTTGTTAGTTTGACAGATGCATTATTTTGTGAGAGAAAATAAGTTTTATTTGATACAATAAGTAATGTAGGCCAATTCAAAATCAGTTTTCATTGCATTAATTTCCTCTCTCTTTCCCTCGCTCTCTCACACACACACACACACACACACACACACACACACACACACACACACACACACACACACACACACACACACACACACACCTTTGGAACCAGAGCCTCCACAGAGTAACTGATAATGGACCATTGTGTGCCATGTGGTCACAGGAGCTGGATGATTGAAAACCAAATTACCTTTCCTTCTGAGTGACTCTTGAGTGAGCCGAAGGTGTCGGCGGCTCACAGGTTCATACCAGTATCAAATCCTTGTCTGCTTTCCATGAGCCTGAGTCACTCAGTCTTTTAAAGGCGTTGATATGTAAGCTGTTGGATATAGTGAAATGTTATTGGTACAGAAAGCAGTTGAAAGAACTCAACACTATGTATTTTCACTTTGTACGTATGTCATATCTTATATAGACACCTTTGATTATAACTTTTTTATAAATAAAAATGTAATTCATTTTGTCTGTATTTATATGATTGCATGTTTTTGTTGAAATACCTTTTAATGCAAGGCTGTGACACAAAGCCTCAAATATTTAGGGCTTATCCTTAAGAGTGAGTTTAAACTTTAGATTCAATTGAAAATCTTCTGATGACATTTTCAGTGGAATTTTTCTCCTTTGAGGTTTTTATTAGTTTTTAATTAATTAACACCATTAAAAAAAGGTGCTGTACATCCCATATGCAGGAGGTTGGCCAGCTTGTTCCTGCTTTTCTTGAAGCTGATATCACATGAAAACAGATTGAATTCTTCATTGATTTAAGAGATCAGAGTGTTTTCTGGGGTATCTTGGCTCTTTTTACTCTATGCCTATGATGATATTGATTATGTGGTTATTTTATCTTTGTTTATGTGCAGGGAGCCTGATATTCCAGCATGGGCTCCTTTACTCTACCAGCTCCAGCTGCTGGACTTCAGAGAGAAACTGGACCCGTTAACTTTGCCCGTCGCCGACCGCATCCGCATCGGCAACCAGAAACGAGAGCGAGGAAACTTTCATTTCCAGAGGGAGGAATACAGCATGGCTGCCAGAGCCTACAGTATGGCTCTGGATGTGCTAACCACGCGCAGCAGAGGTAACCCAGCAGCAAAACCTGAATGTATTCATAGAAAACATTTCAATACTGTCGCCTGCACCATAAATATGTAGTATTCTACTGTGAGCATTATCTTCACGGGAGAAGATTAAAATGGAAATAGAAAACAGAGAAAGAGGACACACATACATTTCTAAACATAAAAACACAGTAGTTCATAGAGACCTCAAACACTTCCACATTAATCTGAGTCCAGAGTTACGTAACATAATACTCTCCTCCAGTCTGCCATCACACTAATCAGACTATCACCTTGCAGAGCCACATCTATCTGAGTCCAGTGCCATGATACATGTTTTGGTTTAATTTGTTTGAATAATCAAAGCTAATCAACTTTCATATTATTTCCACCTCCTTAATCCCGCTAATCATTGACGAGGCAGGGTTGCCCCGAGAGGGAAATGTGAATGAACAATGAAGAGAAAAACATGGACTGCTTCATAATGCATCAATGATGGTGGAGCAGAGAGTGAACTCAGTGAACAGAGGAGTTTATCAGGGCATCGAGATTAGGGAATTAGTGGATGAGAAGATGACCAAAAAATAATAATATTGAAGCAGAGACATCAACAATTTAGGCTGACTCTTTTTTGGGTCATCTTTCACCTATCCGACTTATCATTTACAAATATAATTCACGATGCGTGGAGCTTATAAATCACTCTAATTGATTAACCAGTAATCAACTAATCATGCACTCACATGGACATTAGACGTGATCAGACTCCATTTTCTGCTCATATTTTTAACAGGGGTTTTTACAGGTAATTGTCTTGATGAAGTAGCCTATAGGGTTGCAAAGTTCCGGGAATTTTCAAAGATGGAAACTTTCCATGGGAATTTATGGGAATAAACTGGACATTTTCAAAATTGAAGGTTGGCTCTTCATAGGGAACTTAAATATAGTTGGGGAAAGTATATTTGAGCATAATCTTGACTAAAACAAACAGATGCCATTCAAGTACACTTGAATATCCATGCCATAGCACACTGCTTACTGCATGGCTATTGAGACCACACCCCCTACAGGCACCGTGCATTCCTCCATCACATGCACAGATGAGTAATATTTAACTCAACATTCCTGTTTTCGTTCTTCAATGAAACAAATAATTGTTCAATAAAATAATTCAAACTTGTTCTGTTCTACTTAAAAAATCTGTTGAAATGTCATGTTTTTTGTTTAATTTTGCATCAAATATTTCCAAAATCCCCCAGCTTAACTTCCCATGGAAACTTTCCGGGAATGTTCCTCCCCTTTGCAACCCTAATGAAGTATATAAACCAATGTTAGTATTTAGCATTAGCATTTTAACCAAACCACCTAAAAAGAAAATAAAGAAAACAGGAAAGAAATGTTGTTAAGATGTGCCGAAGTACATTAATATTAGTTTGGTTTTGAATGGTAAGAAATGTCTTGCCCAATATTTAGGCTTTCAACACATTTAAATCTGAAAAGTTATTAGCAATTCAAACTCTTTGATATTTGTGCTTAATTGTTTAATCAAAGTTTTGAATAGCTAATCAAAAAGAGAAGATACAGATCCAGAAAGAGATTTATAGATATGGAGCCTAAAGCTGAAACAATTAACATTATTAATTGAAAGATTGAGGTGTCATTCCAAGTGCCAACCCAAATATAATGATCACATGACTTTGCAGTCCCCCTCCACTCAACAATAGTGAGCTTCAATTCATTGTAGGGGCCAGAAACACAACTTCAAATTCCTGCTGATGTTGCTCTGTAACTAGGAAACTAAATGATAAATATCGTAAAGTGATATTGTGTTAATGTCGTTGCCTCCCAGTTGTCAAAATCAGTTCAAATGTCTTCAAAGAATCAAACTTGGAACCACGTCCTTTACAAAATTGATCAAATTCCACTGTCAATTTGAGATATTGACTGTGATTAAAAAGACTTGCATTCACCCAGATGTGGGCCCAGAGCTGCTGACATTTGCCTCACTTCATTCTCCGGGCCAAGTATGAAAATTCCTATGCACTAACAAGGGCTCATTATTCGGGTCACTTCTGCATTGTGCTGGACACGTTTGGGTCTAATGATGAATCCAGGCAGTGGTTACATCAGGGACCGAGATACAATATCCAGCTGAATAAAGAAACAGAACATCTCCTCATAATGACGCCCAGTGGGAGATTCTCTTTGAGATATTTCTTATATTCTGAAAGATGTCAGTATAAATCCTCTCCGAGATTAGATAACTCATCTCTGTCAAAGTGTTGTTGTGTCAAGAGAGCACATGTCAGAGGTTGTGTGTCCGTCTCTACAGATGGTGGCAACGGTGGCGTGAAGACGGAGGAGGAGGAGGTGCGGGACTACCGGGTGAAGTGTTTGAACAACTTGGCCACCGTTCAGATCAAACTGGAGCAGTACCAGGAGGCGCTGAGCAGCAGCCGGGAAGTCCTGACCCTGGAGCGAAACAACGTCAAGTCCCTGTTCAGAGCGGGAAAGGTGCGGGCCCACGGGATGAGATATAATAATTATTGAGGAAGAACTAGCTGCTACATTATTGCTATCTGTTATCTGCCTGTTGATGTGTCTGTGTCTACAAACACTGCTCACACTGTTCAGTTTTCTTTTTCAGCTTTTGTCAGACATGGGTGAATACAAAGAGGCGATGGAGGTGCTAAAAAGGGCATTGAAACTGGAGCCAACCACCAAGGTGAGATTGTGTGGGTGAACTAGCCCGTTCAGCTTTCTTACAATTCTGCCTGTCCTTCCCTCACACACAGGGGCAAAAGTCAAATCCACCAATCAATACAAACAAATTGTTGTCGCCAAATGTATGCATTAAAGGTACCCTATGATACTGTTTTTCATCAATATTTTATAGGTCTCAGATATATACAAAACATGTCTCTGAAGTATTTGGCCTCGAAATACCAAACAGATCATGCATTGTAGCATCCCATAATCCCTCCTTATTCAGGCCTGTTTCAAAAGTGCTGATTCTCTGTCTGTTACTTTAGATGAAAATAAGGAGCCACTCCCCACGCCCCTCTGAGAGAGATTTGGTTAAAAAGAACACAATGGTGCTCTAGGAGGAGATTCAGGTGATAAGGTGGGGGGTGTTACCTTGGTTGGTGATTGGCTAATGGTTACACAAGCCAAAACATCTTTATGACATCATAAAGTGGCCAAAATCTGATCTGCTCATTTTCAGACAGGTTTTCATATAAATGGATCAAAAAGAGAGAGAATCTTTTTTTCTGAATCTCTTCACACAGAGGGGACACGTGTTGATGTAGAAAATACATGAAAGCGTGGATTTTGTATAATAGGTGACCTTTAATGCTAAAACATCCAATTCCTAAATGTTTTGACTCTTAAGACTCTTAATCTTTGACAAAGGAGTTACACAGGAGAGATGATGATACATGAATATAATTGATCACCTCTTTAAGTTCACACCACTTCACAAAGTCACTGCATTCACATGTTAGCCTGGAGAAAAAAAGAGATGCCTTGGATCCCAGTGAACCACTTCAGTTGAAGGCCTGCCCTGTTCTGTCTTGTTTGTGTGGTTTGTCTATCTGGCAAACTGCACATCAGTCAGTCTACAGATGTGACCACAATGTTTAGATCCGTCCAGAAAACCTAAAAATAACACATGCATGAGGTAAATATTGTTTAATGCCCTGTGCCCCCCAAAAAATAGAAGTGGAGTAGGAAGAGTCTTGCTTGCAGGTATACAGTATCGACACTGTGATTAGGATAGCTTCTCTGATGCACAGTTTTTCACAGCAAAACAATCTCAGTTTATGAACATTATTTTTGTTCACTGCAGACTGGTCTTTCTTATTTGAAAAGGTGTAATTAAAGTGTGAGGAGTCCATTTCCATCAGCTGTTTACGACGTGGTTTGCCAATGTTACAGTGACCTGATCCATAGGGCACACTGCCATCAGAGAAATGTCTGGTCTTGTCTAGACCAAACTAAAATATCTGCTGCTTTGGTAATTACACCCTCTTGATGCTGGATGAAATACTTATTTAGCTGCTCTGTGAGAAAGGTATTGTACTGCAGTGTGTTACGTGATAACAAAAATACGTAGCAAATGTAGTTATATACTGTAAACAAGAATACATGTGTTGTTTCTTAATATTATATTAGATGATTTGACAAATTACAAACTAGTTTAATGAAAGTATTAAGTAAATATGCTGTTAAGTAATACTGCCTGACCGCATAGGGAAAGATACATTCAAATGTAAAGGGAAAACAAATAATGATGGGATTTGTTGTCTACTTTCTAAGGCTTTGTGTTTCAGACCTCTGCTCTCACCTGCTGGACATTTTCAAAATTACAACTTCACATTTATCTTTAGCTAAAATGTCTTATTTCCAACATTAGATCTACTGTACAAATAGGAGCTTTTTCGCTGAATGTTAAGACATTTTCTTTCTTCTTCAGGCGATCCACGCAGAGTTATCTAAGCTGGTCAGAAGGCAGTCAGGAGGCAAGGATACTCAGGGATGGATATCTAAACCAGCAGCAATGCTTGGAGATAACATCATACCTTTCCTGATTCCTTCTAAGAAGAAGCCATCTGTGAGTTACAACATAAATATTTCCTCAGTTTCATTCTGATTATAAAAACTCCCAGGATTTTGACTGAGCTTGTTGTTGTGTTTCAGGGAATTTCCTGGAAGTTTATACTCGGAGGTCTGGTTGTGGCCTTGGGCAGCTTAGTGACATCGTTGATTCTGACAGCAAGAAACTGACATCCTGCACACTTTGCACATGACGATGATGAGGAGGATATTCAGTCCTTTTTCCTTTCAATTCATCTGAAAAAAGTGTATACAGTGATGACACGAAGAAGGTTTGCAACCCAAGTATTTATAGTAGGAAAATGTTTCACTAACAAATTGTACAGTACATATGAAATGAAATATAGTTAAGCATTGAGAATATACCAGCAGAGATTTCTGCTTATATGAAATACAGAAGCTTTAAACAAGTAGCTTTTCAGTTGTTTCTGCTTTTATTTGGAGAAGAGAGTACATTTCTGTATGATTGAAGGCGTTGAAACTGCAATAATCTTGCTTACACTAATGCTTAATAAAATATTACGAATAATCAACTTTGTCTTCTTCTCTTGTGTAGGAGCCATTTTATGGGTGTTGTTGGTGTCTCAGTTTATTTAAGTTATATGTATAGTGCAATATTATTTTTGAACACTTGGTGGTGGGGTTTAGCTGCACCGGGTGTATAAAAGGGGTCATAGGTGACAGGAGAGGACGAGGACACAGGAGGAAGAGCACACCGATTCCACCAGCCAGACAGGCAGCCCCGATACCACAACTATTGACACAGTGTACTTAAACCTTGGTGTAAAGCAATAAACAGTATTTCTAAACTGCAGCAAAAGACCGGAAACTCATCTGTTTGTGTCTGTGTCAGGATCACTCTTAACCCTCCTGTGAAGTAATGGCAAAGGATAAAACTGCCATTACATCTTGATTTCTCAAGAACCATGTTTGGTCTGAAATGGAAAATGGCATTCATTTAAAAATACTAAAAATATTTTTCATCTCTGACAAAACCTTAAACAATTACTTCACTTTCATTTCATTTGAGGTTTCAGTGATTTTATTGATTTACTTCATAAAAATACTTTACTACCAAATACATATAAGAATATATAGCATGATTACATTCTATCATTTATATTTGTACATGTGCAATTTTCCAACAATAGAAATCTTTATTTTGATCAGATAATGAATATTTATGAAAATATTGTATTTAAGGCTTGGGAGTTACATATTTTAAAGGTTAACATATGTAGGAAAACTATGTTCATCATAAAATAGAAATCACTTTATCATATCTACAGATAAGAGTCTACAGTCCACAGCAGGCGTTGAGCGATTTCTTCTGGCCGGATGGACTCAGTCTGACCTGAGAATCTGACTGCCGCCTCAGTGTGACATTTTTCTTCACCTCTCTGTGGGAATCAGAAACAAGTTAAAGTGTTGCCATGGTATGTGAAGGGAAAGCTCAAACTCTCTGTCTCTCTGGCCTCCTACCTGGCGAGATGAAGCACTGTCTCCACGACATTGGTTCCCTCTTTGGCACTCGTCTCGCAGAACAGGGCGCCGTATGTCTGCAAGCAAAGCATCGACATACCTGACTGAAGGCAGTTTATTTAGACACCCGGGAGGCTGGGTGTCTGTATAAACACGGTTTAATCAGGTGGAATGAACAGCTACACACCTTGGCCAGCTTCTCTCCGTGAATACTGCTCACACAGCTCCCCTCTGGAAGCTGCTCTCGGAGGTCCACCTTGTTTCCAATAACACACACAGGGATTTTCTCCTCTGTTGAATTCTGTATTAAAAACAAACAACATTGTTTAATATATTAGGTGGTGTCACTATTTGACTTTTCATGCAACATTTCCACTGTTACCTGAATCTGATCCACCCACTCTCTGACGTTCAGGAAGCTGCTTTCTGAGGTGACGTCGTAGAGGAGCAGGACTCCATGAGCTTTACGGAAATAAGACCTGGCAATACTACGAAACCTACAATCCAAAGAAACGCTGTTTTTACTCTTGTGTATTTTACCATCTTGAGTCATTAAAAGCAACAATTCGAATAGATAACACCATGTTTTTTCCATGTGTAACTTCCTGATGATACCTCTCCTGCCCTGCTGTGTCCCAGATCTGCAGACTCGTCCTCTCTCCATCTACAAGCATCCTCTTAATTTGAAAATCAACCCCTGAGAACCAAAAAAGCAGTTTTACACATGTGAAATCAAGAATGAGTGTTGGATTACATGTGATGTCATTGCGGTGGCTCTTACCCAGCGTCGTCTGCATGTCTCCCCTGAACTCGTTGAGAGTCAGTCGCAGCAGGAAGCTGGACTTCCCCGCTCCTGCGTCTCCGGCTAACACCAGACGGTACATCGGAGCCGGGCCCTCACCTTCTTCTATGTCCGCTCCTAAATGCTTCGGAAACACAAGATAACAAGCTTGTCCAATTTAATGTGGAACATCTCAGTTTTTAGTGATCATTTGGTTGGTTGATTGGGAATGTTTATTCTTCACCAAAGTAAGTGGCCTAGAAAAGCAAGAACAATTAGCACTAAGCCTGATGAACAGTATTTAACTGATGACATTAACTATTTTTGTAGACTTTCCTCTGCCATTTTTATATTTGTTTTTTCCATAAAAGGACTACTTTGTTGGGACTGTTAAACACAGAGGATAGATCACTCTTATTAAACCTAGCTTTGTTTTGGGTGTCACAACAAAAGCCACACTGTCAGAAGTGCAGAAAACGTAACATTTTAAACTACATTTATTCCATTTGAAATTGTGATAAAATACAAATCCCTGCATTAACACTAACTGGGAAGGAGGTTATTATGCATCAAAAAGCTGTACCTTTGTAGAAAATGCAGACAAACGTCTTCGTAGTGACGATGTGATAGAGTTTGCTTTGCTGGGAGATACTGAAACTGTGGCTTCAGATTGCATTTCTGAAATCTGTAACCGAGAAAAGTAAATACTTATTTAAAGTTGTCACAGTTTACCAGCATAACATGAGCCATTATTTAAACCTGACCTCCATCTCAGACGGGACATAGGAGTAACTGTGGTGAACAGTCTCCGCGGAGACCCTACTGTCTTCGCTGTCGTAATCGCTGCCCGAGCCTTCAGCCGTGTCCATGGGCAGCGACACTCCACTGTCCAGGTACTTATCCGCCCAGGTGGACACATGAGAGAAAGTCGTTTTGCTGGGATCCGGCTCCGAGCTGCACCAAAGCATCAACACACATGCTGGCTTTAGCTGTGACAATTTAATTCAGAGAGATCAATCGGCAGATCCACAGAACTTGATGTACCTGCTATGGTTGAGTGTGCTCTGTCGGAGAGGCTTCATCCTTCGGGCTGGGATTTCATTTTGGGGAGACAGCTGTTGAGCAGATTAGGAATGTCAGGGAGAAAACTTTTGTATTTTATAACACTCGAACCAGTGAAAAAAATGTATTGTCAGCCTCTATCTGATGTAAAGTCAGTGTATCAGAAAAACAAGACTCACCCTCCTTTTAGCTGCAACCGCCTCACTGGCCAACGCAGAGCGCAGCCCTTCGTTGCTGTCATACAGCTTTTTGTTTGTTGCCCTAATGATGTGTTCAAGAAAATACAAGTCAGATACATGTAGCATTTATTGTCAGTTTTACAAAGGATTCTGCTTAGTTTTGGTATACGAAGCCTTCAGAACAGGTTACTACACTATAAACGTTTTACTGGAACTTTTTGGAAAGTGTTGAAACCTAAGATACGAAATCCCTGCATTCTTGATTACTGCACAAAAAGAAAAAGCACTACCTATATGTTCACACTAGACAGCATCATGAAGAGAAGAGCAGACTTACTGGAGAATCTGAATCTGATTGGCATATGACTGGTATTCGATAACCATCCTCTTCAATTCATCCGTTTCTCTGTAAAGAATAAACACCACATGAACAAGATGTTGTACTGGATGATGGATGGTATATCGTGTAAACCGACGAGTTGAGTCGAGTTTAAAGACACCGCCTCACCTCCCATGTTGAGCTTTCTGGTCTGCGTACATGTTCTTCAGTTTGTCCATCTCTGAGTGCAGGACAGCGATGTTTGTCTGGGCTTGGAGGAGAGAGGCCCGCAGATCCTCGTTTTCCTGTGGGGAGATTTGATGAGTAACTGGTAACTCTACACTACATACATGTGACTCAACTAAAACAATCACAACAGAGAACTCACCTGTGAGAGATGAGTGATGTGTCTGTTCAGCCTGACCACCTCCTCCTTTGAATCGTTGGAATCAGAGTCCTCTAGGCTCTTCAGAATAGACATTTACACAAGAAGGCTGTTAAATAGTTTCAAATGTTGATAAGCCAATGTGTTTTTTATAAAACAGAAAAAGATATGAACATTCCCTACTGCAGACCTGTATAATTAATATTGTTCCGCAGAGTTATTGCGTTTACATTGTTTTGTTTACTCTATGGTGTAGAGACAATAAGAGGGACTTCTTAAATAAAGACCACTGCCAAGCACAATGTTTAACTCACTTTGTAAAAGAAAGCATGTTTACTGTGAAACATGCTTTTCAATTTGTGGTAAAATAAGACAAATCCAAGTCTTTTTTTAACCTGCCAAATAATGGTCTTTGTTATTGGCAATCATGTATGAGACAGTGATGCTCCATTTTTACAAATAATATTATTGTAACTAGAGCAAGTTTTTAACATAAAACGACACTGTGTGACACTTTAGGTGCAGGGCAAGAATGTAGTTTTATTTTTTAGCACAAACTATGGAATATAGCATGGCCTGCACTGCACTAGGGCTGAACGATTAATCGATTTAAAAATCGAAATTTGAAATTATGCGATTATCAAATCGCAAAGCCTGCGATTTTTTTTTTACCTTTTTCTTTTATTCTTTACATTTTTTTGTTTTGTTTTGTTCTTCTTGTGTGTCAGTCATCCACACCAATCAGAAGTGCTGTGCTCCACATGTACCAGCCATTGTTAACCAATCAGAAGTGGCCCATGATAGAAGGTGATAGACAGACTGATCCAATCACCTGCCAAGTATTTTTGAAAGTGGCCTGCCTTTCCAAATGGCTTCCAATAGAGCTTTCCTAGATGGTTTGGTGAAACAAACCATCTGAGTCAGGTTAGTAATGCTCCATCACATGTTTTACATCTATTACAGGGTGAATCTTAAACTGAAGCTTGACTTTAAAAGTGAACCTATCATGCTATATTTGAAAAATATATTTTAGGGCCATACTTATATAAAACATTTCTGTGAAATTTTTTTTTCAAAATACCAAACAGATCACCCATTGTAGCCAGGCCTCATACTGCTCAAACCCCTCTTTTGCAGCCCTGTTAGAGAAACGCAGATTTTGGGTCCTTAGCTTGAAAAAAAGAAAGAAGCTAATGCCTGATCAGAATTCTACCAGAGATAAAGTTAAATTTGGTTATGATAAAACGCCATCCTGTTCTAAACCACATCAAGGATTATTTCTGAAACAGTATGGAGCTCAAATGCTTTTTCTCTTGCGGGTTTATCACAAGGTGAGTTCCTTTTGTATTTCCTGCTTTTTAAAAACACATGTGTTCGACACTACAGGTTAGCTCTGAGTGTTAGCGAGGCTTGCTAATGTAAACAAAGACGAGATTACGTCCAAAACACATCAGGCATTGTTTCTGATAGCAACTTTCTGTGGGTCCGCTGCCGATTTGACGTCAGTTCGGATGGACACGTCACAGCGGATGGAAATCT